GAGTGGGGAGGGAAGGTTGGGGGTTAAGGGGGGGATGAGGACACATTTGTAATACCTTAACCAATAAAGAAATTAAAGATAAAAAATAAATTAATTAAAAATAAAGAAATAAAGAATGTTTACATATTTGTAATAACAGAGCACTAGAGGCAATCAAAATGGCCATCAATAAAAAGAATGGATAAATTAAGACGTATCAGTCCAATGAAAGCACAGTTGTTAAAAATCACATTTTCAAAGACCATTTAGTCACTTGGAAAATGTTTACGAATACCAGTTAAGTGGAGTGAGAAAAAGCATATAAAATATCATTTCAATAATTTTTAAAAGAAGAAAAAATAAATATACAAAAAATTGGAAAAAAATACATTGAAATGTCAATAATGATTTGTTTGTTGTTTAGTGGTTGTTTTCTTCTCAATATCTTTCTGTATTTTCCAGCTTTTGTGTAGTGACTAGTTATGGCTCTTTCTATTTGAAACACAGTGATAAATTTTTTTAAAAGAAAAGACAAGGAATTTGTCTCATGTAGAATGAAAATAGAGGGAAGAGCGGTCTCTTAGGAGTCCAGGCCAGCAATGGCCTGGCTGCTGAGGAGGACTCACATGATGGAAGACTGAGTCCAGTGTCTGGAGTGAATTTTGAGCTACATTCTCTTTTGCAAAGTAGTTTGGTATAGTCGATGCCAAGGAATTTGGGTCAAGGAGAAAGTCATTTTCACTAGATACTACTTTCTGCTACATTCAAGGATAACAGATTATAGGATCTGGGACACAGTTGAAATGATGTCTTCACTGCTCTTGGGTTGAACTCATGCTTGCTGCCTCTGTGTATAATCCCCCCACCTTACACATACCCTTACCCCATCACACCAAGCAGACAGACTGCAGTCATGACTATGGGCTTCGGACAGATGGTGGGCTCCTTTCTGGCATGAGAGACAACACCCAGGGTCAATGCTTCTATGGGGTGATTTCAAAGCCTTCTTTGGCCAACGCTCTGGGAGCTCCAGAAAATGCCAGGAAACAAATGTTTTTGGCAGAGAGATGTCCTCCTCACAGATTTCAGTGAATCCTGGTCAGAACTCTCTCTGATAAGAATAGAAGACTTGCAGTTAGGCCTCTGGCCTAGAGTCAAACCTTTCCAAACGTCCTTGAAATTTTCACACCACATGCTTTGGTGAGTTAGGGAGTGGTGCCAAAGATCTCAGATGAAAGTCAATTTAGACAGACCAAAACAAAAAAATTAAAATAATGATACTTACAATACTAATAGCAATATCAAAAGCCAAAACACCAATGCTGACCATAATTATGGTAATTATTTTCATTAACACCTTGACTTGCCATGCATTTTTCTAAGTTGCCCACACCATTTCACATCTATTACCTTACTTACTCTGACAGAATCTCAGTTTTACATTTTTAAAAAAATACCATTTCAGAGGCGGGAGGAAGCTTTAAAGTTCTCATGAAAATCTGATGCTTTTTGAGTTAAAAACAAAACCCTGAAGTCTTCATGTGGTGTTTTCCAACTGAGTTCTTGACAAGAAATCAGGGGATTTCAGCATGAGAAATTACGAAGCCCTATTACCATGAATTCTTAGCTTTGGGGACTATGATGTGGCCTTATTGCAAAATTCTCTAAAGGGAGCAATAGAAGATTTATAACGCTGACCCAGGGTAAGAAGGGGGCTTGTACTTTTGTGCTATAAAATCTATAAAACCTCTGGGGGTAAAAAAGAACCGCCTGGTCTGTGGGCACGGCCTGTTAGCTGCTACGCTCAGTCCACATCTGCTCACCGTGAATCAACGAGTGCAGGCTAAGCCTCTTGGATGATCAAGGTTCTGAAAAGACAATGGTGCCTCAAATTTGAACTCTACTCCTCATGTGGAATTAAAAGTTTAAAAATAATAAAATTTTAAAAAAGCTCAAGAAAATCTAGCTTCTCCCATGGTGTCTACTTTGATGCTTTTTTGAAAATGTGGGAGATCCAAATATTTACAACGTTGGTATTTGTTACCTCTGCCTTGCTGGTGTGTCTGTACCAACACTGCGGAGGGGTCATGGTGACAGTAGTGGAAGTCTGATTTGGCGGTCGTGTACCTCTCCCTGCCATGCTATTCAGCTAAACATTAGAAATCAGGAGGCTGACCTCACCCTGCCTCCACCAGACACACACTCCTAGGTCAATTCCTGCATATTAAGTGCTTGGAGGAGGCAGTTGAAATGAACAAGCTGAATGGACCCTGGCGCTCTTCCTCCTTGACTGTGGCCTTTGCCCTGCCTTTCCTGGTAGACTCCGTTAAGCTGGGACTTCCAACAACAGATCATCCCCACTTGGCTCCAGCTTTTGAAACCTGGCACTTGTTCTCTACTTACTCCTTTGGCTGAACCCATCCAGCAGGCATTGCATTCCCCCATCAACCTGGTCTCATCTTTAGCTTACCCCACTAGCCCAGCCAGCTCAAGCTCAGTAGACACGTTCAGGACCCAGCAACCCAAGAAAATGGACTTTCAGAGGTTGTAGCACTTCTGTAACACTTCAACTTGTTATTCAGCCCACACCGGATGGAGGCGGGGGCGGGGTGCAGGCCTGGGCCAAGGCCAGGCAGCAGTAATAGGAGATCAGACATCAGACTCCATGAGAGCCTGAGAGGCTGTGTCACATCAGCCAGTAGCTGGCCTTCCCGCACGTGGACAATGTGTATTCTTCAGGGTGTGGGTGTGGGTGTGGGTGCCCAAGATGTCCAGTCCAGGGTGAAATTAAATCAGAAACCAGAGTGTCTAGCCAGATATTGACAACACAACTAGAGAACTAGGTACCAGACAGCTCAGGCAAAGCCTGTTGTCCACTTTTAGTACATGTGCTGCTGAAGCAAGCATATATAGTCCATTTGTATTGCAGATCTTTATGATGCCTTAGGGGGCATCACAAGGCATCCTCCACATAGTATTTACCAGGGAGGGGAATACTGCACTAAGACCCACAATGGTGGAAAGGCTAAATAAAATATAAAATTAGTTCCAGGGTTCTCTAAACAGGGCTTATAACTTTACCATTCATTGTTTCAGTAAATATTTCAAACCTTGTCCTGAAAAGAAAAAAGCTAGAATTATATATCAAATCTTTAGGGTAGCAATAATCTCCCCAGC